GGCAAGAGTTCTTTAGACATTGTCATACTTTAATCGACCCCTACCTCCAACGTCTCTTGGTTATGGAGCGAGAAGGAGCTTGCATGGTACCTATAGTGACTATGCCACACGGACAGATCCAAGCACAACTCTCAGCTATGCAGGTTGTCAAGGGGATCAAGAAGGGGGAGCCGACGTTCGTGGCAACCATTGCAAGTCTAGAGGAAGACAAAAATTTTCAAGAGATAGTGCCGCCTTGCATAGAGAAGTTGCTTAAGGAAAACAAAGATGTCATGCCCGAGGAGTTGCCTAAGCACTTGCCGCCCAGGCGAGAGGCGGATCACAAGATTGAGTTGGAGCGAAGGGCTAAGCCACCCGCATTTGCCCCATATCATATGGCACCTCCCGAGCTAGAGGAGCTCAGGAAACAATTGAAGGAGTTGCTAGATGTTGGTCATATTCGCCCATCAAATGCACCTTTTGGCGCACCAGTATTGTTCCAGAAGAAGAAGGAAGGATCGTTGCATTTGTGCATAGACTACCGAGCACTTAATAAGGTCACCGTGAAAAATAAGTACCCGATCTCGCTCATTGCTGACTTGTTTGATAGACTTGGGCAAGCCAAGTACTCTACCAAGGTGGATCTTCGAAAAGGCTACTACCAGGTTCGCATTGCGGAAGGGGATGAGCCAAAGATAGCATGTGTGACGAGATATGGAGCCTTTGAGTGGTTGGTGATGCCCTTCGGCTTAACCAACGCACCGGCCACATTTTGTACCCTTATGAACAAGATTTTTCATCCCTACCTTGATCAGTTCGCGGTAGTCTACCTAGATGACATAGTCATCTACAGCAACACCTTGGAGGAACACATGGAGCACTTAAGGAAGGTTTTCCAAGTCTTGCGGGAGAACGAGCTATACATCAAGAGAGAGAAGTGCGAGTTTGCACAATCAAAGGTGCACTTCTTGGGCCATGTCATTAGCAATGGCGAGCTACGCATGGACGAGGTTAAGGTACGTGCTATCCAGGAGTGGGAGGCACCCATAAAGGTAAATGAGTTGAGATCCTTCCTTGGCCTTGTTAACTACTATCGTCGATTCATCAGTGGATACTCAGCAAAGGCCGTACCATTGACTGAGTTGCTAAAGACGAACAAGCCATGGGTTTGGACGGAGCATTGTCAAAAGGCGTTTGAAGGCCTCAAGGCAGCTATAATAGAGGAGTCAGTCTTGGCATTACCTGACTTTGCCAAGACTTTTGAAGTGCACACAGATGCCTCAGACTTTTCCATTGGGGGTGTCCTGATGCAGGATAATCATCCCATAGCATTTGAGTGCCGCAAGTTAAATGAGACAGAGCGGCGTTACACGGTATAAGAGAAGGAAATGACTGCCATTGTGCATTGCCTTCGTACATGGAGACATTATCTACTCGGGTCGAGGTTCGTGGTCAAGACTAATAATGTGTCTACTAGCTACTTTCAGACATAGAAGAAGATCACACCAAAGCAGGCTAGGTGGCAAGATTTCTTGGCTGAGTTTGATTATGCGCTGGACATATAAGCATAGCCGATGCCTTGAGCCGGAAAGTCGAGCTTGATGCAATCACTTCAGCGAGATGGGATATTCGAGAGCCTATAAAAGAAGGCATGCAACATGATCCAGCAGCCAAACAACTTATCGAGTTAGCCAACCAGGGCAAAACGAGACATTTTTGGGTAGAAGACGACATATTGCTTACCACGGGTCGGCGGGTCTACGTGCCTAAGTTTGGAGACATTAGACGACGGATCATAAGGGAGAGTCATGATACAATGCGGGCTGGTCATCCAGGCCAACGCTGCACCAGGGCCTTGGTTGAGTTAGTCTACTATTGGCCACACATGCGAGATGATATAGAATGTTATGTGCAGACTTGTCTTGTATGTCATCAGGACAAGGTTGAGCAACAACAACCCGGAGGACTTTTGGAGCCACTAGCAGTTGCAGAGCGTCCATAGGAGAGCGTGACTGTGGACTTTATCACTTGCCTACCAAGGTCCGACGGTTATGGTACTATTATGGTGGTCGTGATAGATTTTCCAAACATGCCAACTTCATGCCCGCCTCACCAGGTTGCACAGCTAAGGAAGCCGCCAAGCAATTCTTTAAGAACGTGGTGAAGTATTAGGGCTTACCAAGGCATATAATCAGTGATCGAGACCCCTGTTTTACTGGAAACTTTTGGAGAGAGTTGTTTGACATACTTGGTACGGAGCTGCACTTTTCTACTAGTTTCCACCCACAGACGGATGAACAAACGGAATGAGTCAATGCCTTACTAGAATGCTACTTGAGGAATTATGTAAGCGCGCATCAGAAAGATTGGGCAAGGCTCATAGACATCGCCCAATTCTCTTATAACTTGCAGCGGAGTGAGTCCACGGGACAAACACCATTTGAGCTAGCCACAGGCCAACAACCACAAACTCCACATTCCTTACCAGCCGTGTTCGAGGGAAAGAGTTTGGGGGCTTATCATATGGCCAAAGGATGGGAGGAGCAGCTCGACACTGCTAAGTCCTACTTGGATAAGGCAGCTAAGAAGATGAAGAAGTTTGCGGACCGTAAGCGGCGTCCCACATACTATAGAGTTGGGGACATGGTCATGGTGAAGTTTAACCCAAGATAGTTCAAGGCACTACGAGGCATGCATCAGAATCTGATTCGCAAGTATGAGGGGCCATTCAAGATCGTCGCCAAGGCAGGCAAGATCTCAAACAAGCTTGACATGCCATCGTATCTTAAGATCTACCTTGTCTTCCATGCCAGCATGCTTAAGCCATATCATGAAGATAAGGATGATCCGAGTAGGGGCTAATCAAGTCGGGCGCCAATTACTATCACCGCCTCGCATGATCGGGAGATTGAGGCTATCATAGATTACCAGGTCAGGCGAAAACAAGGGCAAAAAGCCACCGCTATGCTCCTCGTCCATTGGAAAGGGCAATCACTGTAGGAGGCCACGTGGGAACGATATGAAGACTTGTGGATATTCAAAGATAAGATCCGAGAGTTTATGCAGCAGCATTGCACCACAGTCGTCGCAATATTGGGTGGGGGAGAGGGTGATGACCCGCCATGTCATCATGCCACATAGGCGCCATTTGGCATATATTAATGCCATATGGAAGCTTACAAAAGAAGAAGGCTAGCATTTGTGAGAAGATTCTAGAGAGATATGGACATTTCCTTAGGAAGAACCTAGATCCTTATGCTAGGAAAGTCCTTGGAATTTTCTAGGCTTGTAGAGAATTCTAGAAAAAGCCCTTATCTTGTAAATATCAAGGACTTGTGTAATAATTAATATTTACACACTAGCCCCTAGGAGACTAGTATATAAAGGAGGTCATTCATTTGTAATTCACCAAGCAAACAATTCAAGTTCTCTCTAATACAAAGCTTCCTTTAACAATTCTCTTGTGTTCTTTCTTCCATTCTCTTAGCGATCTTGAGTGTAGTAAGGCTGGCTTGACATAGCAAGAACGTGAGCAAATTGTGCAAGATCGTGAGCGAGTTGTCAAGTGTCGCACGTGTACTTAGTTAAGAATTAAAGACGTGACAAAGAGCTTTATATTAATAATCTAAATCCTAAACTTTCTCATCCTCCCTTTACTATTCCCTCCATCTATTTTTACTTGTCTGCTATATTAAAAAAAAAAAATTACTTTTACTTGTCCAGTTCGAAAAAACAAGAAATAATTTATCATTTTACATATTTCACTCTTATTATTAAGTACTACTACTAATCATTTTCAATTTATTTAATTAGAGGTGATTGTAAAGTTATCATTTTATTAATTGCTTCTTAAGTACCTTGTCAAACATGAATAAGTAAAAATAGACTGAGGGAGTATTTCAAAGTTTTGTTTGTTATAGATACATGGAAGTCAAGTTGCGGGAATCGAGGCTGTGATGGTTTGGGCATGTGAAGAGGAGACGTAGATGCCCCGGTCTGGAGGTGTGAGAAGTTAACCATGGCGGGCTTGAGGAAAGGCAGGGGTAGGCCAATGAAGTATTGGGGAAAAGTGATTAGGCAAGACATGTTGGTGCTTCACCTAACCAATGACATGACTAGCGATAGGAAGGTATCTATGATTAAGGTGATGAGTTGATAGGTAGTTGTGAGTTTCTCCTAGGTTTAATCAGTAGTACTAGTAATATTCTTGTTGTGGGTTGAAAGTTACTTCCTTCTAGTTTGTTATTGTATATCTGGT